GAAGTCGACATTGTTGTGATTATGGCTTTTAAAATACCAACTATAAGAAGAAATATCGTGTCTTCTTTCATAACGGAAAGCAATATTCCACAGTTTCGTTTCGAAGAGGTTCAAGAATTGAACTAGTATGAGCTTTTTCATTTGTATGTGTGTTTTTTCTGTATGGTTCTAAAATCTGTAAATTTCCAATATGTAAATTTTCTAAACAAAAGGGATAACTGAGGGGGGAGGGGAGAGGTTTCGTTTCGTTTCGTTTCGTTTCGTTGATTATAGTAAGCCGTGTGGGTAACTATAATCGCCGAAATGGAGCTAATTCTTTGAGATTCGAGCCCTTTTGTTATTCCAAAGTATTCATTTGTGTAAGAGCATATATTACGACATTCGATTAGGCCATAAAGGTTGGTGTATCGAGCCAAACAGTGCATTTTCCTTGGCGAGATATAAACCGATACTTCGGTATTCTAGCTCAGTGATGCCACAACGTGACCGTCTGAGTCTGATTTGCCGGATAGCCTAAATTTCTGTCTCTTCTGGATTAAAGAAAACATTGGTATTCAAGCTGCAGTATTCCTAAATGAAGATTGAAGCGGCCATGGTTTTCAGAGGTCAATTAGATGTAGCCGTGTTGACATCGCTGGCACAAGCTGGCGCGACGCCAACTATGCCGGCTTTGCAAACTGTCTGACTCTTGAACTTTTTAAAATTACTACAATGAGAATCAGTCTATTCATATTTTTACTTTGTTTTATAGCGCAAGTATGAAAAAGGAAAGACTATCAGAGTGAACGGTTTAATAGACCTTTAAGCAAGTTCGGCAACTTAAACTACTAGCCCGATTGAGTCACGTTTGCATTATTGCCGTGTGCGTGATGTTTATTGTGTTTACACTTTTAAAGATTTCTCAAAAAATATTGTATATCTAGAGAGCTAATCCCGTTTCGTTTCGTTTCGTTTCGTTGAATACAGATTCTCGTTTCGTTTCGTTTCGTTGAATACAGATTCCTGTTTCGTTTCGTTTCGTTTCGTTGACTATAGTAAGCCATATTGAGGATTTAGTATGAGGACCCAGCTGTATCCCTTCCAAAGACGAATCCTTGATATGCCCCTGATATACTTTTTATCTACCTGTATGCATACATGTACATGTATACTTACTTATATCAATTCCTTGTAGGATATCTTTGTCTTGATCTGAACACTCCTTAACCAGCAATAACAGTTCATTCCATTCCAGCTTAAGTACATCTGAACAAAGGAAAAATAACATTAGTTCTGCAGATTAATTAATTACATACATGTATGGTCAAGTTGGTATGAACAGCTTCCAGTCAGGATATTCACCAGAGGATATTATTACTGTGCAGATCGATACAGATTTGATCTGAGTGTCTGAAGGATCCTTTATGATTCTTGCATGTACCAAATGAGTAAAAGATATTTATTTTTTAACCTTGAGAAGATGAAATGCTGTTTTTTCCAGGTAAAAAAACTATTCTATAATTATCATGATAAATATTATCATCGATCAAATCAAATCAAATTGTTATATTGTAGATATAAAAAGGCTCAACAAATGTGTGTTTTTTTCGCCATTCTTTACTGATAAGTTTTCAATAAATGATATAAATCAATATTACTGATATTGATATACATTATTACAAATCTAATACTTGACATACCGTCCTCAACCTTTTGAATTTCTTGTGGTGAGGCACCAACTAACAATAACACATTAGATACATCATTGTAAAGTGGGGTAAACTCTGCTGGTGTAATCCTCCCACTTCCAGAATGACAAAGCTTGTTTCTTGTTTCTTTCAAATATCTTAAGCCATCAACTAAAGCTCTGTTGGTCATGTCCACAAATGGAGGTCTGGAATTCAACAGCACTTTGACAAACAGAGATATATCCCACTTTGTAGTGTCCCCTGACTGGACTTTAGGTATTTCATAAGCTGGCCTTGGGATGTACTTTGTCAGCAAGTCCACACCATTCTGATGACTGTCAGTCCATGGAACAAACCCACCAAGAGAATTCCATTCATCAATGAACAACTTGCGTAACTTTACCAGGCCTACTCTGTTAAGCAGTAGTACCAGGCAGCAGTAATTCCTGTATAACAAACATCAATAATGATTTTAGTTACAATAAGTAGTAATTGTATCACTGTGTGAGCAAAATAAAAGAAGCAAAGTATTTCAAGCTA